AAAAAATGCAAGTAGAAAAATAGGGACCACCTTTGGTGGGAAGGTAACAGCTCTCCGTGCCATTTCGGCATTTAATCATGCCGGCCACATGACCACAGAGACGTCTTCGGACAGCACTGGCACGGAGATGAGCACTGCCCCCCTAGAGTCAGGAACGACTAGCACATATGTGTGAGGGGAACCTTTACCTTTACCTTTAGCATGTTGTATGAACCTAGGGAAAATTTCCTGCCTTGAAATTCAACTCAGGACTAGGCAGAAGTTTGAACAAGATCTTTTTGCGCTTTCTACGGTAGTAGTTTTCAATTGGCTTCACTCCTCAGAGTTTAATATATCATTATTTCTTTTTTCCACCCTAAATTTAGTTAAACATTTGAAATATGTACACATCAGATCTCTCAGCCTCCTCCCCTGCACAGATTATGGGTCAACTTCTTCACCCTGATGAAAAAAAACTGTTTTCCTCTCTCCAGATTGGTCTATGCTGAAATCAATCATCACTGCGGAGAGGCAGTTATTTGCTCATCCTTCTGATTGATTTTTCTCTGCAGCCAACTGGAACCAATTATAGCAAAAGAAGACGAATGGGGAGGAAAGAGGAAGGGAAGGGAAACAGCTATTCTCTGGGACCCAACTAATGTGTGTGTCAGCACTTCAAGCTGCATTTACTCTAGTGCTGACATAAGAAGAAGTGGAGGCGTCTGGAAAGGGACCTTTGACTTTTCACCTACTTATTTTCCCTGGAGATAATATCCCCTAGGAGATGGGATGGGAGGGGGGAAATTCCTTTGAGCTGGAGCGGTAGATTAGGGGTAGAATGACTTGGAAGAGGGCCAATGAATGCAGGGCAGTGGGGAATGGAAAGGGAGGGTTTGGGGTCTGGAAGTCAGTGTTGGCTTCAATGGAGTCGGGTTTTAGAATGTCGTGCTTAATAAATAGGAGTTTTTCTTCAAAGACTTTGTTCGAAATGCAATTTATTTGAGACGACCTCGAAACTTAACAGTGTGTCTATGGAGATTTTCAGTCATCCAGGTCATGGTTGTCCCAAAGGTGCTTTTTTCAAGCGGCAACTGGACTTTCTGGGTTTTCTTTGAAGAAGTTTCGTTTCTTATCCAAGAAGCTTCTTCAGCTCTGACTGGATGGTAGAGAATGGAAGGATTTACATTCCTTGCAGACAGCTGGTCATTTGCATCCTTTTAGAGAGTCCTTGAGGCCACTTGGAGGTTTATCTGTGTCCTCAGGGTCTGTTCAATAAATGTATGTCAAAATTGTATGGCACAGCCTTCTTTCAACAGAGGGGGAGGGGGAGGAATATCTACAATACAGTCCTTTCAGCAGTTCCAAGAAGGTTTCACACCAATTTGCACCACTCAGGTGACCCTGAGGACCCAGATAAACCTCCGGGTGGCCTCAAGGGCTCTCTAAAAGGATGCAAATGACCAGCTGTCTGCAAGGAATAGAAATCCTTCCATTCCCCATCATCCAGTCAGAGCTGAAGAAGCTCCTTGGATGAGAAGCAGAACGTCTTCAAAGAAAAACAAGGAAGTCCAGTTGCCTCTTGAAAAAGCACATTTGGGACTAACCGAAGGGTCCTGTTGTCTCTGCAACCCTGTTGAAGGTAATGAGCAAAAATAATTCACTTTCAAAGTCCAGGTTCACTGACGTTAGAAACCAAGCTCAATAAATTGATCAGGAAGAGTAAGTAAGCACTTATTCTTTTAGAGAAACTCTACCCAGAAAGACAGTGTGGAGCAGTGGTTAAAGCAAGTGGTTGTCTCCGACCACAAACTGAATCCCGAAAGTTTCCTAAAAGTGATCTCTGACCAGAGATCTTCTCCCTGGAAACCTGCGGAGCAGAATGGAAAAACGATGAGACTTTCTTTTAGTCCCACCCACCACTGATTTTGGCTCCATCCATCTCATGGTTCCTGAGAATTTAACTCCAAGAGATTGTGATTCTCCATTAGAGCTACTAGACATCCGGCAAAAGGAACATAGAACATAAAATCATAGGGTTGGAAGAACCCTTGATGGTCTTCTAGTCCAACTCCCTGCTCAAGCAGAAGACCCCCTACCATACTGGACAAATGGCTGTCTAGACTCTTCTTGAAAACCTCCAATGATGGAGCACCCACACCCCAGGCCACCTCAGCGATGCCCTTGAAGTGATGGCCCAGTGCCTGGAGGCTGTACGGATCTGGATGGGGAGGAACAAGCTCAAGCTCAACCCTTCCAAGACTGAGTGGCTGTGATTCCCGGGATCCCAATATAGTCAGCTGACTCCATTGCTGACTATCGGGGGCGAGTCATTGGCCCCCGTTGAGAGGGCGCGCAATCTGGGAGTCCTCCTGGATACGCAGCTGTCTTTGGAGGAACATCTGACGGCTGTTGCCAGGGGGACCTTTTGTCAGGTTTGCCTGATTCGCCAGTTGCGCCCCTTTCTTGATCGGGATTCCGTGTGCACCGTCACTCATGCCCTCGTCACCTCTCACCTGGACTACTGCAACGCTCTCTACATGGGGCTCCCCTTGAAGAGCACCCGGAGGCTCCAACTGGTCCAGAATGCGGCCGCGTGGGTAATTACAGGAGCTGCATGGCGCTCCCGCATAACACCGCTCCTGCGCGAGCTGCACTGGCTCCCAGTGGTCTTCCGGGTGCGCTTCAAGGTGTTGGTTACCACCTTTAAAGCGCTCCATGGCATAGGACCTAGTTATCTCCGAGACCGCCTTCTGCCACCGACGACCTCCCATCGACCCGTGCGCTCCCACAGAGAGGGCCTCCTCGGGGTGCCATCAGCCAAGCAATGCAGGCTGGTGACCCCCAGGGGGAGGGCCTTCTCTGTGGGGGCTCCCACCCTCTGGAATCAGCTGCCCCCAGAGATAAGGACAATCCAAGACCTCCGTGCCTTCCGCCGTGCCCTTAAAACTTTCCTTTTCCAACAAGCCGGGCTGGCCTAACAAATCCTTTTAAATGATTTTAAATTTGTATGTTTTTTAAATTTTTGGCCAATTTGAGATATTTCCTTTTTATCTGTTCTTAATGTTTATATTATGTGTTTTTATCTGGCTGTACACCGCCCTGAGTTCCCAGGAAGAAAGGCGGTATATAAATTCGAAGTAAAATAAAAAAATAAATAAAACTTCTGGAGGCAAGCCGTTCCACTGAATAATTGTTCTCGCTGTCAAGAAATGTCTCCTTAATTCTAGGTTGGCTCTTTCTTTAATGATCTTCTACCCGTTACTTCTTCTCCAGCCCTCGGGTAC